TAATTTAAATATATATTTAAATCAATTGTATAAAAATATATTACAATACACATATTTTAGTTGTGTGTACGAAATTAATTTTTATGTTAATTAAAATTAATAAAATTTTATACACTGAAAAACTTTTTTAGTGTGCTTAATATATATCTAATAGACTTTTAAATATGTATGTATATGGGAAAACACTTTACACTGTATAGTGGACATATCAGAAGAAGACCATCCAACTACACACTGTATATTCTGATTTAATGGTTTCATATGAATAGAGTTTATGGTACTAAATTGCAATAAAACGAATAAGTTTTTTTTGAAACATAATATAAAAAAACTAAATTTCGAACATTTTCGAGGTCCCCTTTCTTGAGGATCTTGATCAATTATAAGACCTCCCACTAAACAGCATTCTAAGCTTCGCAAAAATTCTAGATGGTTTTAAACCCTGGGTCAATCCCACTAGTGATCGCTAGTATAACCTAACCCAACCTAAGTTTTGATTTTATCGAATCTTTGAAAGGATTTTATTTTAAATTTATATATTTATATATTTAAATTTATATATATATATATATATATATTTGAAGAAATATATTGAAATATTTTGATATTAATTATAATATATATTTATAAATATCTATCTATAGTAATTATACATTCTACTTCTTCAATATTTGCATTATAATTCCAGGGTTAACAATCATACAAAAAATATACAATAGTGATATATAAATATGTCTACAATTTATTATTAAGCAAACACGAGTATACATTTCCACATATCAGAATACATTGTTTTGTTAACAATTTAATTAACTGTTTCTATTAAATACTTCTTCATAATTAATTTCTAAATACGCTGACGCAATTAATATTTTTGTTTTCTTAAAATATGACCGAGGTATGGTGTCTTTTAACATTAGATCGTTATAAAAAATTATTTGTTTTTATTTACTCGATGTGGCGATTTTTTATTTCAATTTTTGAATTCCCGCTTATCCAGTCGGCAAATTTTTTGTATTTTCACGCTGACAACACTATTATACACGCATATCGTACGATTAGTTTTTTTATGGTATCTATACAAAGAAGTCAAAAAATTTAGGTGTGACGATTTTTATAATGGATCAAAAATTAGAACAACGTGCGTGCATCAAATTTTGTGTTGCAAATAGATTCAAGTCTGCCGAAACGTTGAAAATGTTAAAAAAGGCCTTTCATGATTTGTGAGTGTTGCAACCACGAGTATATGAATGGTTTAAAAGGTTCAAAGACGGTTGGACCATGATGAGATCCCTGGCAGCATTACAACATCTGTTACTGAAGAAAATATTGAATCGACGAAGCAGATCGTGTTGGAAAATCGTTGTGAACCGATTAGAGAGATTGCAGAGTTGTTGGGCATCTCATATGGATCGGTCGAACACATTTTAACTGATGTTTTGGGTTTGAAACGCGACGCTTCTCGGCTGGTGGCAAAAAAAGCTGGATTTCATTCAAAAAAAGCGTCGTTGTGATGTTGCCAAAGAGATGATTTCCAACGCAGATAATGACCCCACATTCATCGAACGCATTATAACTGTTGATGAGACATGGGTCTATGAATTTTACATGCCCACCAAACAACAATCGACCGAATGGTGCTTTGAAGGTGAGCCGAAACCGAAAAGAGAACGCCAAAGTCGGTGTTTTCTTCGATATGCACTATATGGTGCGCTATGAATTTCTTCCGGATGGTCAAACGATCAATAAGGAATATTATTTGGCCGTTATGCGTCATTTGCGTGAGGCCATTCGCAAAAAGAGGCCAGATTTATGGAAGAAAAACTCATGGATTTTACACCACGATTACGCACCGGCTCACACAGCGTTGGTTGTGTCGCAGTTTTGGGCCAAAAACTCCACCAATATCATCAACCAAGCACCGTACTCTCCAGTTATGGCCCCGTGTGACTTTTTTCTCTTCCCCCGACTCAAATTGCCATAACTCGTTTTGAGATCATAGAGGCCATAAAAGAGAATTCGCTGCGTGAACTAAAGGTCATACCTTTGGTGGCCTATAAAACTTGTATGGAAAATTAGATCAAGCATAGTTAATATATTTATTTCAAATTACATTTATATTCAACGTCTTACCCTTCAAAAGAGTTATATTATGAATTTCATTTCACTGCACAACTAAGACTTGCAACACTAAATAAATAAATATCACTATTTCAAAAATAATCAATCAAAATTTCATTCTAGCTAAATCCATACTAAATATATACATTTTATATAGAGGTTTTTCGAATAGTATTGAACTACAAATACAAAAAATTATTTTATGTTATTTTAATTAATTGAATTTTTGGTTGACCATACAATTGTTTCGAGTATTGCCAAATACCAATCATCAGTGGTTTTGGAAATAATTCTTGTATTTAATTATTCATAAAAAAATTTTTTGAGACTACAAATACCAGGAATCGAACTCATGTCCTGCCAAATTTAAAGCTCAGAGTCAGCGCACCTTAACCAACTGACCCAAAGCCGTACTTCATTTTTTATGTTCGCACATTTTTCTGGAGTTTTGTTACTTTGCTGCGAAAGTTTTTAATAACAAATTCACTTGCTGTGTTTATATTAGACGGAAATTTTAAACCAGCTGTAGAATAATTTAATTAATTAATTTAATTTTTTTAATTTTAATTGTTAAATTTCAATACTATTCTGAATCTAAATCAGAATGATTTATATACTCCTTCTAATGTATAGAATCTAATCTACGAACGTATTACTGAGAAAGTCATGCTAATGTTACTCCACTAGTCACTCGGGTGAATATATATATCTTTTATCTTTTACTATTCCGGTAAATCCTTTAATTATATAAATAAATTATATAGAATACAATTTGCTTATTTGTTAATGAACACAGTTTTCAATGCAATTTTCTTTTTTTTTTTTTAAAAAAAATATTTTTTAAATAAAATATGCACACATCTGTTGCCATTTTATGGGAAAAGCTCAGGTTTATTACTTGAGAATCGTGAAATAATTCGTTGTCCCTCGAAGCGTTAACATGAAGACTTTGTAAGGCATTCATTGAAAAACGCATGTGTTACTACTTTCGTTTATTGCCACATTAACTTCGGGATATACACTCAATTAAATTACACCAAACTAAATCAGAATGAAGGTTAAAAGTCCTTGCCGCGCAATTCATGGACGGAATGTTACATTTTTGTGCAGACAAAAAAAGTCACTGTAATTAAAAACAGTTTATCTGTCGTCAAGTTTTTGTTGTTGCTGCTTCTGCTGCTGTTATTGTTGTTGTTGTTGTTGTTGTTGTTCTGTTGTGCTTCGTTATTCAAAGAATTCAACATCTGGCAACAACTAGAATATCTACAAGATACTGAAATTAATTATAAAACACGTATGTGACCAAGAAAAAAGTACAAAGTGAAAACGTAGAAAAAATTAAATTAAGAATCAAAATAAAATAAAAAAATTTCAAAGGTGAGTTATTTTAGTAAAAAGTTTTTACTGGTTTCGGAGTCATTATCAGAATTACTTTTAGGAAAGCTCTTTTAACTTTGGTTAACACTTTAACGCAGTTATCGGGTTTTTGTTAATGCATTTGGGATATCAGTGAAACCCATCTTCACATTTAACCCTACAATGTATATGAAATTTATTGTTTAGCGAGATAGACAACTTAAGCCAACAATTCAGTATAGTACGAAATTTAATAAAAACTAAATTTGTGATATGTTTGATATAAACTTGATTGAATTTTTATTATATCCTGTCTGTAATCGGTAATTAAATTTTACTGTTGAAGCAATCTAAATTTTATTTAACAATCGGTCAATTTTTTTTATTTGATCTTTTAAGTGCGCAATAAAATAGCTTAATAGAAAAGTGCAATTGATTTTGTATTCAAATTTTTAAGATAAAATATAAATATTCTAAAATACTATCTTATAATATGCACATGAAATCATGTTTTACTATAAGTAAAAATAACCTAAAAATTAAAAATACAATACAACAGTATTGTTCCATATATATATGTACCATATATGTCAAGTCCATTGACATATTTAGAAGCAATATGTGAGATACAAAATCGATGGAAATAAGTTTAGTTTAGAATTAAAATTACATTACATTATTTCATTAAAAATACTATACAATACTATTGTTCATAGTATGATATCAATGTCAAGATATTAATATTGGATATTGAGATAAAAATCGGCGGCTATAATTTTAGTCTGGTTTTAAAATTACATTATATTATTTTATTAAGATTCGCTTTTATTCAACTGTATAATCATTGTTAATTTTAATTAATACAATAAAATCAATAGTTTTCTAACGTTTTTAGGTTGTAACAATTTTATAACAACCAATTCTTCATGGAAAATATAATCCAAATGTTCTTTTTATATCTGTACAATGTCAGTACCTCTTGCAGCTTTCAATTATTGTAATCCATAGAAAAACTTTCATTTACGATATCAACTTTCTTCTACAGCTTCAATGTATCGTCATTCACAATAACAGTCTCATTTGGGATATCAAAGCATTTGTTCTTATGAATAAAATTAAACAAATTTTTTTGAAGCTACAGGCACCTTGCTTTAGTTATTAAAACATGAATTACAAAAAATACATATTAATAATTAAAGTTAAAAATAAAACAATTTTAACTTTTATTCTCTTTAGTACGAAAGTTTATATTTTCATCATTTTAATTCCGGCAACACTGTTTTAATATCCGTCTGACCTTGTGCATTTCATATCCGTGCGGAAGCACAAGTGTTGCTTGCGACTGCATTTGCAAATGTCATCTCTGGTAATTGCAGTAATCTTAAAGTGTAATAATAACTTCACTGAT